GACGTGACATGTTCGTACGAACCCTTTGTACGAACAAAAGTAAGAGAAATTTAGGATAAGAATACGAACATGTTCTTGCATGAGGCCCATTGTTCTTTTCAGACCTTCTGGCATTTATATTGCACCAAATCATGCAAAGTCTTCAGTGAGTAACTGTACCATAGAATGTAAATAACACATTTATTTTGTATCACAGTCGTGTTTTGAGTTAAAATATTGTGAAGTCATAATAAACTCATAGTTGATCTTTATCATGAAAATATATTATGAACAATGCAAATGCATTATCAACTAAAGAGAAGATTTTATTTTATAACCTGTTTTTTAAATTAACATTCCCTTGCTAAATTCTGTAGTTATGTGCTACAACACGCTGAATTTTAAGGGACCAGTCTTTCCACTGAGAAGTCAAAACAGAGCCAATGCTTAGTTTGCTTCAAAGATCCTGTAGACAAAAAGCTTTGCAACAAACCTTTTGTCTCCAAGTTTATTTAACTTTTTAACGGTTCCAAATAAGGAGATTTTCAAAATTATCTGGCCTTTTTTTAAAGTCCCTGCCACCTCACGGTGAAAAGTTAGAAAAATTTGAAGCACACCTGAAACCCATACTTGAACCAGACTGACAGAGATCAAAATTCAGTAAACAGACTGTGTTTGTTCTGACCTTCAGTTGTCTACAGTTTGTCCTTTTATGTAAAATTCCAGCACGTGTTCACACTCCAATGGCACACCAATCTGTCTTACAGGAGATACAGATACTTTGAAACATTTTAAAGGGACAACATAACTTTTTTTTGGCTTTATATCATAATGTCATCCCTTCATCAAAAACATACCCAGAGTATTGCTTGACTCATTCATGCATGTTTGTGAAATCCTGTACTGTCCTGAGGCAGTCATTCAGGAGAACAAAAACGGCTGGTTGGTCCTAGAACTGCCTTTTAGGTGCAGCTCTTCCTCTTGACTGTGGCTCAAACCGAGCTTCAGAGCACACCTCCCCTGTGACTCCTGCAGGCCATCAGCAGTAACAACTAGCAAACAACTGATTAAACCGCTCATCTGTTGAGCTCGGACTCTGACAAAAAAAAAATTGTTATATTTGTGCAAGCCACTTTCCTTTCTGAACAAAAGGATATTAACAGCAGACTAATAACAAAATTATCACTAAAATACGATGCAATTCAAACTCACAGAAGTACACAAACACTGTCATCTGCCCAGATAAGCTAAAAAAAAAAAAACTCACGTTGCTTTGTTCATCATTGTTGTCTATCTATGATTTACGGTTACCATTCATAAATAATTACAATCATGGCATGTGAGTATGTGAGGATGACTGGGAGATATCTTACCAAGCTGAAATGTCACATCTCTACTCGCTCCGGTTCTTCAGAAAACGTACTTACCAGGTCCGACATGGGATCATTCAAGTAAGGTTCAATTGTATCGAGTTGCTATTTTCCAAAACCAATATTGTATAATGTTGCTGATTTTTATTATTATTATTATTATTACTACAAAATACAATGCTCCGGTTGTAAACGGCATGAAGCTTTGTTGTGGTGACACGCAGAAATAGGCGTGACAGAAGTGGTAGAAGGTTCGTAAAGAGACAGAGGTCAATTTCAAGGCGTTTAGAAACAGATGTGATGTGAAATCTAATTAATTTTTTGATTTATAGTACATATATACAGAATTTTCATAACAACTGATGGTGACATAGTTACTTTATTTTGGTATAGAATTTAACTATTATGTCTAAAAACACATAATACTGACCCTTTACCCATCCAGAACCACCCACTATTTTCTGAACCAAACAGTTTTAAAGTATCTTGAATTTCATGGATTTGTTGTTTTGTAACTAAAAAAACACAAACACAAGCATACAGTACACATAACGCAAGAAATACTGATGCTAAACATGACAACAACATAAAAAAAACTTGCCATTCAGCCAGCTGACACTGACAACACAAAGAGACTGGACTTGTGTATCGGATGTGGAGTAGTTGAACTGTAGTTATAAGATTTTGCTTGTTATATTGCTTCCTGCTTTATTGCGTTAGTTTGCTTCAGCCCTTTTGGTACGTTTACTTCCTGTTTTTGTCTGACACCTGGTTTCAATTTCCAATCCACCTGCAGCCTATTCTAATTACCTCAGCATGACGTTTTTACTCTGTAAGTTTATTTTGCCCCTGTGATATCCTCATGTTGCTGGTTTATACAGGTGCTGGTCATAAAATTAGAATATCATGAAAAAGTAGATTTATTTCAGTAATTCCATTTAAAAAGTGAAACTTGTATATTATATTCATACATTACATACAAACTCATATAT